CACGGGCGGGGGGGAGTAAGGGGGTGCGGGAGGGCAGGGCAGAGCCCGCCTGGGAGACGGGGCACACTGGCTGAGGCTGACCCGGCGTTCTTGGGGGCCCCACGGAAGAAGGGGGCGACTGGTGGGGGCGACAGAAAGCCACGGGCAGGAAGGGAAGGAACTGTATGGGTGGGGGAGAGAAGTGTCCGCTTCGTGCCGGGGGTGGCTGGAGGGAGCGCTGGGGCAAGTTGTGCGCGGATGCTGAGGGCCCGGCGGCAGTTTGGAGCCAGGGGCATAAATATGGGGCGCCCCCGCTGAAGGAGGCTGGGGGGGGCCGTGTGGGAGCGGCGAGAGGAGGGGGGGTCTCTACTTGTCCAAAATGGACTTGAAGGGGCTCTATGTGGGAATGAGAGGGGGGGTAGGTCACCAAGGATGGCAAGGGCTCGGAAGAAAAAGATGCACGTCGACTCTCCGGAGTTAGGGATGGCGCGGAGAGAGGGGGCCTGAGGTAATGGAAGAGTGGTTGGGGGGGAGTCTTCACCGTGGGACGACTGAAGACCCTGGGACGACATTTTACGCAGGGGTTGGACTGGGGTGCCCTGCTACCCCAGAACATTTGAGGGGCCGGGTGGAAATGAGCGAGTGCCTCCTTTTTCTGTGAGGGTGGGTCGTTACCAAAATAATTCGGGACGGGGGTCTTGGCGGAGGAGGCTGAGCTCTTTGTGGGGCAGTCTGCATGCGCCCAGAATTGACGCTCCGTAACGACTGGCGTACGGGTCCCCCCCCCCGAATCTGAGGGAGTTCACTGGCATCCCACAGCGAGGGTTTAGGCGGGTGTGTGTGTGTGTGTGTGTGCTCGAAGCGCCCGCTGGATATCCCAGAAGAGAGCGGGAGGTGTTGGGACGGGAAGGACGGGCACTGTGTGCGTGCGCGGCCTCTGTTCCCTCGGCTCCTGCTGCTGTCCCTTTCGCCTGCGCCGGACTCCCTTGGCTGGAGCGCGGCGGCGGAGCGCCTTCCGTCCCCTTGGCTGCGAGACTGCGGCCGGGCTGGCTGAGGAGCGCTCGTTCGCTCGCCTCGCTCTTTCCCAGGGCCAGGAGAAGGGACTCCTCCGTGCCTGAGCGAGGTTGCGGCGCCCGTTTGAGCGGGAAAACGCGGCGGGGGTCTTGCCCCAGGAAGGCTCTGCTCTGCTTCGCAGCCCCAACCGCTGAGGGATCAAGGGTCCGAGAAACTCTGTGGCTGCGGACGGCCCGCTTCACCAAGCCATGACGGGCTGCTTTTGGGACTCCGGTTACTTAACCGATCAGAGTGGTGCTCAGGAGAATGGGCACTCGCTCTAAGAGGAATGAGCCCCCCACACACACACACACACATACACCCCTGCACAAACACACAGATACGATTCAGCAGGGACTTGGTTTTTTGACTTTTCGGGGCAGCGTTAGGCTCTTTTCCTCCACTTTCTGAGACAGGCCAAAGAGAGGAACCCCCTTCAGTTTCCCTTCAGACCCCTTTCGGTCTGACCCTTATTGCGCGCCTGGTTGATTTTTCATTCTCCGCTCGGGCCGGCGGTCTGTTGGGCGCCTCTGCCTTGCCTCCTCCTCCTCCTCCTCCTCTGCTGTGCCCGAGAATGGGGGCTCCAGCGCCTGCTGTCCCCTGAGCGATGCCCGCGAGGGACAGGCAAGGAGGCAGCCGCCGGGGAACGAACTTCGAAATGCGGCGGAGGAAGATGGAGGGCGACGTGAG